TCCTGACCCCTTCCCAGTGCTATATAGTCGTAATGGCTTGACGCTTTCCCCCCTGATACTTTCCTTCCCTTCTTCCCCCCCCCTTTTTTTAATCTCTTGAATTATCCCTAGAGGTACGTTCTACAGCATGACCAGCTGCCCTTACTTATACTCTATCAGTGACAGAGTCAAGAGTGCGCGAACTACGTCGTCCGCTAGCAACAGAGAGTCCTGTGTTCAGTTACCGTGCAGGATAGAGACGGTCGTGCACATTCTCTTTCTCCTGTTGCCTCTGTTTACCTAGCAGTAAAAAGGAAACCCGGGAGTTATACAACTGTATTTAGTTACATCCTGGGGAAGATCAGTAGCTGGCTTAGGGAGGATTGACCCCCCCCCTCCAACCGACATGATAACATCATTTATTTATTTATATATATACAAAAAGGTACATTGGGATTGTGAGGATACATAGGATAGTAATTGCAATCTTGTAAAGCCACTAGTACACGCAGCGTTTCGGGCAGAAAGGGTTGAAAGGTTCACAACGTATAATTCATCTTCCATACGGTCTGATAAACGTGTTTTTTGCAATGTAACGTAATATTAATATATAGTGTGGGTTTATGTATAGTTAGGTCTGGGTTAGAATAGGTAACGTGTTTTGACCTTCGGAGTGTTTACACTACAGGCTGAACGAAGCCCGTCTCGAGTCATAGACTCGAACATGGCGCAAGGTGGACTAAAATAAGTCCAGATACTGACTTATTTCAAGTTTTTGTAGCCAGTGTTTGAATTATACGCTGTGAACCTCTCAACCCTATCTTTGATAATAGATTCATGTTTAGTGATGTTTAACAGATGTTCACGATGATGATGGTAGGATATTGATCAGTGTCAATGTATAAATTAAATACAGTAGTTGCGAAGTTTGGGGCATATCATACCATTCGTTGATCTCACTGATGTGACAAGTTCATTATCACTGTAACTTGTGTAACTTTTACGTAATCTAACCATTTCACCATCGCCCGCTGGATGCACGCAGGTGTTTGAGGTGCAGAATAAATAAATCATATGCCCCGTCCCCCTTCCTACCCTCCCACATAATGGACGATGCCCTGACGTGACGAGGGGACGGAGGCATTAGTGTATCGATAACCCGAAGAGCGGTTGAGAGCATCTTGCAAAGCTTTTCTTTTAGCCTGTGGTGAGTGGTACCACCCGTGTGTATGGCATGAATGGAGACCCAGAGCCTGCTACTCCTGGGAGGGGCAACAATACGCTTCTCAGGTGGGGGATTAGGGTCAAATGTGACCCGGCTCAATCAATCAAATGTTGTAGTTGTTGGTGTAACTGTACTAGGGTTGGGTCAAGCCAGCATTGAGAAGTCGGCACCCTGCTTGCTCCCTGCTGTGCCACATTAACACTCCTCGATGGTCATCTACAGATACTACGGCTCTTTGTTTAAGTGTAGTAATACTTAATTTTATTAGATACTATTTTATTTAAGAGGTGTGAGAGGAGCTCCCTCCTCTCGTACCGGTGATCGGTACGTCGGTACATGTTGCTGTACTTGGTTGTCTCCAACCAAGAGACAACCAAGTACAGGGAAATAAATCACCGGTACAACTTCGTTTCCAATAGGATCCGAGACCCTTGGTCCATGGGGAAAAGAATGCAAGGAGGTTTCTTAAGGATCTTGGTTCCAGGCTCTTCGAAACAATAAGAGACCCTAGAGCGGCGAGCTTTCTCTTCCAACGCCTCAGTGTAGCGATCCAGAGGGGGAATGCCCGCCGCATCCTCGGTTCCTGTCCGGCGTTGGAGAAGTTCGAAGAAATCTACAGTCTATAAGAAACAAATTTACCTTTATTTCCTCTTTATGTCCACATTTTATACCCAAGCAGCTGTGTAACTGTGTAACCTTGTATTATAAAGCGTACAACGTAATACAAAAGGGTGGTATATATATATATATATATATATATATATATATATATATATATATATATATATATATATATATATATATATATATATATATATATATATATATATATATTAGTATATTTTGGTAGCAGTCTTTCCTGTAGACATATATTATTAAATATGACCGAAAAAGTAAGATTAATAATTTTAACACGAATTTTCTCAATCTTTCGTACATTATGCTTCACTGTTGGAGGTAAATCAAAAATCACTTCTCCAAAATTCATTTTTATTTCTAGTCTGACGCGACACGGGCGCGTTTCGTAAAACTTATTACATTTTCAAAGACTTCACAAATACACAACTGATTAGAACTTGCGTTTCCCTGATTTTATATCTACATTTGAGTGAGGTGGGAAGGGTGATGTGGCATTACATTTGAGTGAGGTGGGAAGGATGATGTGGCATTAACACAAGACAGAACACTAGAGGATATTAATAGGGTATTAAAAGTATCAACACAAGACAGAACAGAAACAATGGGTATTGAATAGAAGTGTTTGTAGAAAGCCTATTGGTCCATATTTCTTGATGCTTCTATATTGGAGCGGAGTCTTGAGGTGGGTAGAATATAGTTGTGCAATAATTGGCTGTTGATTGCTGGTGTTGACTTCTTGATGTGTAGTGCCTCGCAAACGTCAAGCCGCCTGCTATCGCTGTATCTATCGATGATTTCTGTGTTGTTTACTAGGATTTCTCTGGCGATGGTTTGGTTATGGGAAGAGATTATATGTTCCTTAATGGAGCCCTGTTGTTTATGCATCGTTAAACGCCTAGAAAGAGATGTTGTTGTCTTGCCTATATACTGGGTTTTTTGGAGCTTACAGTCCCCAAGTGGGCATTTGAAGGCATAGACGACGTTAGTCTCTTTTAAAGCGTTCTGTTTCGTGTCTGGAGAGTTTCTCATGAGTAGGCTGGCCGTTTTTCTGGTTTTTTCTGGTTTCTATAAAACCAGAAAAACGGCCAGCCTACTCATGAGAAACTCTCCAGACACGAAACAGAACGCTTTAAAAGAGACTAACGTCGTCTATGCCTTCAAATGCCCACTTGGGGACTGTAAGCTCCAAAAAACCCAGTATATAGGCAAGACAACAACATCTCTTTCTAGGCGTTTAACGATGCATAAACAACAGGGCTCCATTAAGGAACATATAATCTCTTCCCATAACCAAACCATCGCCAGAGAAATCCTAGTAAACAACACAGAAATCATCGATAGATACAGCGATAGCAGGCGGCTTGACGTTTGCGAGGCACTACACATCAAGAAGTCAACACCAGCAATCAACAGCCAATTATTGCACAACTATATTCTACCCACCTCAAGACTCCGCTCCAATATAGAAGCATCAAGAAATATGGACCAATAGGCTTTCTACAAACACTTCTATTCAATACCCATTGTTTCTGTTCTGTCTTGTGTTGATACTTTTAATACCCTATTAATATCCTCTAGTGTTCTGTCTTGTGTTAATGCCACATCATCCTTCCCACCTCACTCAAATGTAATGCCACATCACCCTTCCCACCTCACTCAAATGTAGATATAAAATCAGGGAAACGCAAGTTCTAATCAGTTGTGTATTTGTGAAGTCTTTGAAAATGTAATAAGTTTTACGAAACGCGCCCGTGTCGCGTCAGACTAGAAATAAAAATGAATTTTGGAGAAGTGATTTTTGATTTACCTCCAACAGTGAAGCATAATGTACGAAAGATTGAGAAAATTCGTGTTAAAATTATTAATCTTACTTTTTCGGTCATATTTAATAATATATATATATATATATATATATATATATGTCGTACCTAGTAGCCAGAACTCACCTCTCAGCCTACTATTCAAGGCCCGATTTGCCTAATAAGCCAAGTTTTCCTGAATTAATATATTTACTATAATTTTTTTCTTATGAAATGATAAAGCTACCCTTTTCACTATGTATGAGGTCAATTTTTTTTTATTGGAGTTAAAATTAACGTAGATATATGACCGAACCTAACCAACCCTACCTAACCTAACCTAACCTATATATATAGGTAAGGTTAGGTTAGGTAGCCAAAAAAAGCTAGGTTAGGTTAGGTTAGGTAGGTTAGGTTGACGAAAAAATATTAATTCACGAAAACTTGGCTTATTAGGCAAATCGGGCCTTGCATAGTAGGCTGAGAAGTGAGTTCTGGCTACTAGGTACGACATATATATATATATATATATATATATATAATATATATATATATAAGCCACTGATATGTGGACAAGGGACGGAAATCTTAAATATGGCGTTGACAATTTGCATTGTATCTTCTAACAGTGCTTATTCGTTTGTTTTGAGATTATATAACATTCGCTGCTTCTTTATACAGTATACAAACATTTTTCGCGTGAAGTGAAGTCTTCCAGCCATATATATACTTGTACATATTTTTAAAGGTAATGAGATATGTCTGATGTCGACGTTAAAGAAAAAAACACTTCTTCGCAGTACTGACATATGCCATTCTTGCACGGACAGTGGTTCCACGTTTCCTTAAGTAATTGGATTATGGACCTCCTTAAAGGCCTGATTGTCACCATTTCTCCACAATAGAACATTGTAGAAATATTTGTATTTATCAGAATTAATATAAATCTAAAGATAGGTAATTAGCGCAATAAACAGGTATATAAAGATTAGGTTTACCTGCATGTAGTTAGTGGGGGAAAGAGACGAAGTCAACCCACAAGGATTAAAAGGATTACTATGTAGTGAGCTGGTGAAGGTACCTGCCCTTATCCTCTCATCATGTTTTAGTAATAGATGATGGAGTGAGAAGGTGTATATTGGTGGCGATGGTGCCATAGAGGCGAGACATGCGTACGTGGGTGAGTGCGCTCCCCGGAGCTCACTTGTCGCCTCAACAGTGCCGCACTGCCATGCTGTACTGCTCCTGTCACACGCCGCCCTTCTAAATTTTTTCCTCTTTATTTTTTAACCTTAGTGGCATCTTAGGGACGTAAATTAAGGTGAGTGAAGGGAGGAGAGTGTGAGTAGCGAGTGGTGTGAGTGAGAGGTGAGGGAGTGAGGAGTGAGAGGTGAGAGGAGAGGGAAATATGCCGGCGCGGCCACCCTCTCCCACTCTTATTACAACCCAGTTTCTCTTTTTCGCCTCCACTTTACACGCCTTTCCCTCCCTCTGAGACCCCAAGCAGCCACTCCACGTGGAGCTATAAACGCGGTGGTCGCCCCGGGAGAGCAGTACGCCGCATGGGAATAAAACTCGCCAGAAAGAAATAGTTAATACAAAGACCTTCAGGGGAATCAGCTGTCGGGTGGAGAGTGTTGAGAGAGTTGCCTCATCGGTGGCTGCCAGGTGGTGTTGTCTGGGGCTATTGTTGCCTCTCCTGCCTCCCACCACACACACACGCCGCCCATACCTCGCCCAGCCTGCCCTCGCCACCACCACCTGCCCTCAACCAAGTCTGGCGAGCAATAATACTCGAGGTATTACACCACTTGGTTCTCCTTTGGCCAGGATTTCTTGGGATTACTAAATGACTTGAGATTTTGTTTGTTGTTAGCCACAGGTAAATGAGACAAGGTCCCCTACCTCCCCCTTCCTCTCCTCAGGTGGTGGTGGGTGCCGTGGTGAACACTGTAGGTAAATGTAATCCTGTACTGTAATCACATATGGTTATGGACATCAGTATTTTCCTAGAGCTTAAATGTTTTCTTTTCATATGGTGACATTTTACTTGGGTGTTCTTGGTACTGGAAGGGTTTGGTATTAGTTAACACTGAAGTGACAAATGTCAAAGTGTCGCTGATGACAAACCTGATGACATTGAAGACAGGCCTTTCAGCGCAGTGGTCTATTTTCCTTGGCTTACAAGCGTCGGTCCTCGTGTAGTCGTAATGGCTTGGCACTTCTCCTGGTGGTTCCCTTTCTTTATAAGCATTTTATCTTGGGGTTTATTCCCAGGTGAGAGAGACTGTTTAACACATTACCTTTCACAATGGTGGATGCTGTCATGAGAACTGGGGACGTTTCTGCTGTCTTGATGTGTTTAGCCAATGAAAATAAATTGCCTCTCAGACCAGGCAGTAACCAGACAAGGCTGGCCAAGGAACAGTAGAAAAATTGCCTATGAAATAGTCAACAGGTAATCAACCAGTCAAATAAATGAATAAGTGATACCCAAATTGATGGAGAACAAAAATTCCTTGGCATATATGTAAAATTGAACATAATTGGCACTTATCAAATTATAGGGGAAAAAAGTATCCAGAACTAGTCATAAGTGCATAAAATCCATCACTGTACCTTTCAGCATGGATAACATTAGACCATTCACTCATCAATCCATATGCCTATGGTATCTGTGCCTGGGGATCTATAGCTTAAAACTACAGTACTTTAAAGACACGTGTAGTGTACGCAAAGAAAAAATCCAATTCAATTCCAAATTCTAGCAATTCCATCAGTAACAAACTCCAACCTCAGAGCATGAAAAACCTTTATTTAAATACTTTAAACATACTAAAAATGAAGGTACAACACACATTTTCAAGTGTATTCCATGTCTTCAAAACCCTAACGTGCAGTACAAGTAATGACTTCAATGCTTCTTAAAGGGTTCCAATATACCAACCACTTGGGCTGAGCGGTAGAGCGACTGTCTTGTTTCATGCAGGTCGGTGTTCAATCCTCAACCATCCAAGTGGTTGGGCACCATCCTTTTCCCCTGTCCCATGCCAAATCCTTATCCTGATTCCTTCCAAGTGCTACATAGTCGTAATGGCTTGGCACTTCCCCCGATAATTCTCTCCCCCTTCCCTCCGAATACATAAGTACAGTATAATTAACCCATAGACATCATACTCAAAACAAAGGTTTATATTTCAAAGAAGAAATACCTTGCAATAATGAAGTCAATCTCAAATGCAATAAAATACAGTATTTTCTTTAACCAATTACAGAATACAAATGATTGCAGTAAATTATATAATTGACACTTGGGTAATACTGTAGTTTGTATTTCTACTAAATCAAGTAGTATAATCCCTAAATAGTTCATATTAATAAGATGAGTTTTGTTAATAAATGTTGTAAATGTACTGTATAGCATTTGGCATTAAACCTATAAAATCTAAAATTTATTCCTTTGCAAAAAGTATCTCTTAAAAATACAATATTATGTTACTGAATTATTATATTCAGTATATAAATTGTCTTGTAGTAGTACTGTATCCCTAAAAGGGTATTAATTAAAACTCGGTTATATTAAGGTATGTATGCCCAAAATTATGTGGCTTCTCCATTTTAAAAAAATAAGTCTATGAAAGTCTATGAAATCATTAATGAAGTTCTCTAATTTTGCATATTATAAATATTAATATTGTTCAACTTTAGTGAACTAAATTAGTTGAAAAATGTTCAGTTTTTATTTTGACATGTATGTGCAGTTTGCATAGAAGTGATCAGCTCATGAAATGACTGCACTAGCTGCCCTGTGTGAGGCAAGGGGTATAGTGAGATTGTACATAGGTTTTTGACAATTTTGTTTTCTAATTGTTATAACTTAGTTTCATTAAGATTGGATTGGCTTGGGTTTGAAAATCTGTTGACAAACCACTTTAGGTATAGAGGTACAGATACAAGTAACATTGTACACTATACAGTTTGCCAACCTAACCCAAGCCGCTCAGAATTGATACTTGCTACTCTAACAAATATACTGTATACAGTTTTATCAGACAGAAAATGAGCTTTGTCAAATAGTCTTGGGTATGATTTGATCATATCTCCACATGTACCCTCGAGATTAAGTTGCTGTTTTAGATTCAGCTACTCGCAACAAAAAGTTCAAAGTAGCACGAGCTATGATGAGCCCGTAGTGGACATGTTCTGGGATTAAGGTTCTCCCACTTGGTAGGTGAGACTTGAATGTTACCCCTCACTTTGAATGTGATCTAAATGGATTTACAATTCAGTGATGCCTAGGGGTTTTTAAATTATCTATGACATAGATTGAAATTATTGATTAATACAGGTACTATCAAATAGAACTGATTGCCCTGACCACACTATTGTATCCAGTACTCATTACAGCAGCGTGTGATATCTCACTTGTGTGGCTACAATCAAAACAAAGGCGTGTTTAGTTTACGTTTTTAGCTAGAGTACAGAGGCACCTCGACTTGCGACTGCCCCAACTTGCAAATTTTTTGAGTTATGACCCCAATTGCGTCAAAAAATGTGACTTATGACCTTTGCCTCGACTAGCGACTTTGTTGATACACGTATGGGTTGACTGAGCACGTGGTTGCTGGTGGCACGAGTGACTCCGCCTCGGTTTACCAGAGCCGCCCGCTTAGTGACGATTACGCTTGTAAAGAATTCCATTGCTTTCGTGCTTTTTTCTTTTTTGAACATAAAAGTAATTATTACATATCACGCCATGGGTCATTTACCATTTACTTTTACGTGTCATTTACTTCAGGAGAGGAGTATTTTTAGAGGTCTCTTTTAACTCGAAATAAAATTGTGTTTTTCTTTTGCTTCTTTCATGATAAAATATTTATCCCTTTACTAGTGCAGTATGTCATTCAATGCCTAGAAGAAAATATTGAAATTGTAGAATTATTACTATTTTTATATTCAATGATAGAATAATGACCCAGTTAACTTAATACTTGATCAGGAGTATTCACCATGCATAACATAATTTTAAATACATTAAGGTATCCATAAGTCTTTAGGTGAAAGAGTCCAAACATTGTCATTAATTTTTATTTGGCTTTCTTAGTTTTAATATTAAATGAGTGTTTTTCCATATGTCTATGTAAAAAAGTAAGGAAAAGTTATAATAATTACATTTGAATTAGCATGGTCATCAAACAACGGATGCATGTAGTGGTGTACCTAGGCATTTTTAAGTGGCTTGAGAATATTGTCTTACATTATAATACTGCATGGAGACATGTCTTTATGAAGGTAAACTCGTCAATTTTTCAGTAATGATAATCTTCTGCCCTTCCCCCCTGCCAAGAGGAATGTCATAACGAAAGGGTTAAACCTGGTAACATATCATTGAAGTAACTGATGCTTGTAAAAGTCTACATATTGACAGTATAACCAAGAGTAAATCACTTTCCTTTTTGAGAGGCCTTGTATTGGCGGCTTCTTGGTGCTAGCTACCTGGATGGCTGCACCTAATTCACTACACACCAGACCCTTGCAAATCATTGTAAGCCACCTGGGGATCAGAGACCAAAACCTGGCGCCCCTCTGAAAAGGTTGCAAGGTGTAGGCGATACTAGCCTAACGAAAAGACCACCAGAAAGTTTTTTGCAAACAAAAAACACGCAAACAGCATGGTAGCTAGTATTAAGAAATAACCAAGGGTCCACCAGAAAAAGGTTTCATTGCATTCATTACTGGTTTTTATGCATTTTCCATTGCTAGTTATATGTATACAGTATTGACAAAAATATGTACAGTAATAGAGAGTTGCCATAAAATCAATCTTCACACAATTTTGTCATTTTATTAGGATGTGCAGGCGAGTCCGGTATATCTGAGCACCCAACATTTCCAGATTCATGGTTAGTAAAAAAGAATTTGTAAAATTTATAATTAATGTTTCAGTTGATAAGTAAAAAATCTTTAACATTTTCACACTACCATACACATCAAAGATTTCTTAAGAGTAATAGGTTTTTATTGGCAACTATCATTATAAACCAGTGCACAGATTACCGGACATTTTGAGTTTACTGTACAAAAATGTGGTGTGTGTTATACAAATTTTATATTGATTTATTGTTAAGTTTTGTGATAAATTCTTGTATACTATTTTATTAAAAGCTTAGTGAGCACTAAAATAGAAAATTAAATAAAGCACCTAACAAATTGTCAATGTTCAAAACGTATGGCAATTCATCATATTAGATAAAATTTTAGGGAAAATGAACGGTTTTCATTTTGTGTTAAAAATGTGTTACGTACATAGTTTGGCAAATTTTAAGTGTTTTAAGGTCTTGTGTAGAGTGAATGCCCAGGATTATCTTGAGTTCCAGTTGCACTCTGCCTACCTGTCTCTGTGACTAATAGGCCAGTAATTAGTGTACTGTATGTAGTAATAATTAAGAATGTCATGTCTTGTGTATCATTATGCTCGTTTTATGTTAAGAGTAGAACATATAAAATAACCAATACTCTGTGTATTGGTTAATTGCCCAATTATAATTACAGAGATGTTGTCCTGTAGTTACACTCATGGTGTCTCACCTTCTCAGTACTTTGTCTAATGACACTTTGAAACTACAGTACTATACTACTGTACTGACGGTTTTGCCATCCACTACCTTCCAACAGGCTACCACTCTGTTTACATAAAGCGCTTCCCCCCCCCCCCCCCTCCCCCACCCCTCGTTTTCCCTTCCTGTTTCCTTAGCTTGAATTTATGACCTTGTTTTTTTAAATTGCAGGCTTCAAGTTTCCTGTTACAATTTTCTATGTTGTGTAATAATCACCACAGTTGATAAATATTCTAGCTTAAGTACATGTTGCAATATTGTAGTGTATGTATTTTTATTGCTGCTGTGATTTTTATTGATTTTTAGTCTATACTTCACCTATTACTGTACACTAAATGACATTAATCCTAAGTGTAGGCTGAGCCATGCTGTTATACATTTACAAAACTAGTTTATACCTGTCCTCTTAATTTTCTGTCCTTTTAATTTTTACCTGTCCTTTTAAATTACCTGAATTTTTAATTTCTATTTTTGAAGCACATATAAAGATTACTTGTTAATATAATTACAGTATGTACTGTATTTTAAATTGAGATAGTTAATTCTCATAACTATCGATACATAGTTTATTGCATACTGCATTGAAAAAAAATTAATTTTTTAGTGATACCTTTTACACATTTTCAAAGTGGTGGAAATTTCAAGTGGTTATGAGATTTTTCTGATTAGTTGAGCCAGTTGACATTCATGCCTGGCATTTATATCGGTGAAGGTGCTTGTGTTTATTTCATAGGCTTAATGGGATGGATAGCACTCTTAACAACTTGCCTCACTGAACATGGTCAGTGCACTTGGAAACTTTGTATAAAAGTGCTTACTCGAGGACCTTGGAATCAGTGTAATTCAATAATATTCAGTTAGTAGGCTATGTATACAGTATAGTGTAATGAATACAGGTATAGTGCTGTGTGTACACATGATGAACTCATTTTCATATCACATTGCCCCTCTGCAGTTCAGTTTGATGGAAATTTGTTAGTGTTTGTGGTGAAATCTGGATTGACTACTGTCATTTCCAGCATATTGTATAACTTCTTGCTTTTCTTGTGTAGTTAGTAATATTTACTGTAAATGTAATTTTAAAGTTTAAGAAAGCTTCACAGAACTCCAAAGTACATTGCCGTAGTAAAAATGGTACAAATAGTACTACACAGTGTGATAATTTCTATGGGTGGTCCAGTGCTACCCACGTGACATTCATCTATGCTAGAGGTGTGTACTCATGGATTATGCCCTCTTGGATATTTAACTACATATATACACCAGTAGAAAGAGGACATGCTAGTAGACATAGTCTAGTTAGAACAGCACGGAGGAAGTACTGTAGTAGTATTGTAACATATAAAGTCTATATTGATGATATGGATTGATGGTTGGAGTGATGATTTTGACAGATTAGTTTGGTTTTGACATTTCAACCCTTTGACAAAAAATAATGATAGGAAAAATGGTTCTGGTGCCAATGATTGAGGGAAATTCTTGGGCTCAGATTTGAAAAAAATTGGCTAATGCTGCCAAAGGGTTACAATGAGAAGGGCAGACTCGTATGTATGGTTGCAACAGATGTTTTGGTATTAATATGGTAAATCAGTAGTTAAAGCATTGGACGTAGTAACCTGACTAAGTATGTGGTATTATGAGACGAATTAGGAATGAAAATTGCAATGGAGAAATGTTGATTGTTAATGTAAATAAATTGAGAGGAGAGCTTACTGAAATGTTTGGAATGTTGAATGAAAGGGTGATTTGTGAAGTTTGTATTAAAATGATGATAGAGGAAGAAGGGTGGGAAGATGACAGGCAGAGTTAGTGTATGTGGAGGAATTATCGAGTGGGAACAATGTACAGAATATTACAAGGCTGGGTAGAAGTTTGTAAGAAGAGTGTGAATGTATCTGTATATTCTGTACGTTACTATATGGGAAAATTCATGAAAACTGTACATATAGTCTTATTTGAAGGGATGTGACACTGCTGTGGGTAACTACTGCTGTATGAAGGTGTTTCTATTCTATTCTGCAACATTGTGTGGATGAGTGATGTTATTAAAATATTTAATAGTTAACCTTTTGCTGTGTTCACTTTCATCCAGGCTGGTTTCCCCCAAAATGTGGGAAATGGTGTATTGATAATGTATGTAATGTATTCATACAAGGAAATAACTGACCAGGGTGAGAATTTACAACTGTTTACTCTTGAATGAGTTCCTGATGAGTGGGAGCTTCCCCAGTGCAATCCCTGTCCCTCACACCGATCATCAACATTAACATGTTGGCCTACTGTAAAAAAAAATCAGACTCACAAGTACCGATTTAAACACCTTAATGAACTTTGAATCAAACTGGCATATTCAATCAGTTGTTAGCAAATAATAAAGAACATTATAAGAACTTTTGGCGCAGATTAATAAAAAGGGTAGAGTACCTGGCTTCATGTAAACAGCATAAATCCATCCCATCAATCTCTTCTGTACCATTGTTGGATAAAAAGCATTGAAAGTGTTCACAAGTTTAAGGGAAGAAAAAGGGAAAATAATAATAATAATAATAATAAGCTAACCCATGTGTAAATGCATTGGTGTGGCTGTGTACTAGAAAGTCAAAAACAGTTTGCAAGAAGGAAACACACAAATTACAAACTTGTGGATGTTATCTTACCTTGTAGAGATACAGTACTGTACTGTATTGTACTAAGTTCTCTTTGATACTGAGAGAAGAAGATACAGTGGTGCAAAAATTTCAATGCCCCTAATATGTGTTAACACATTTATATTTTGCAGATACTATATAGAAAAGCTCATGAGTGATGAACTGTATTTGGATGATTTAAAATTATTAAGATTTTGGCAAATTTGTATGAATTATAATTGTAATTTTGAAGGTGAAGAAAAGACCCAATACTTGCCGTCATTTATCAAGGTGCTCTAACCAATGTGTTGGTTACAGCACCTTGATAAAGGATGTACGTTCATCCAAAATTTGTTTAATAAAACACTTGCACAAGTACAGTACTAGGTATTTTCTTCACCCTCATTCAAACACTAGTGTATTGTAGTAAGCTGCTTCATTGTAATTATCTTTGCAGAGTCCATAAGTGCAATTTGGTGGGTCAGGAAGCACAAGCCAGAACAACATTATGGCGTCCCAGGGTTACAGCTCGGACGAGTCCAGTGCGGATCGTAATGTTGAGATCTGGAAAATAAAGAAACTAATCAAGAGCTTGGAAATGGCCAGAGGGTAAGTAACTAGGCTGTAACCTTTCACTGGAGCCCATGGGGGTATTAGCACATTGGGAGAGTTCCATAATTTAAGATTTGGAGTTCCCTCTAAGATTTTCATTCAGTGGCTGATTTTCACAATAATTGAGGCCTTATTGCTGTAGGGGATGTTGCTTGCATCTAGCCACTTATTATAGATAACTTGTTTAAATTATACTGTTTTTAAAAGTACAAATAATGCAAAGAGAAAAACCTGCAGCTAGATCGGTTCTTGTCTTGAGTATTGGGGTGGTTGGTTTAGGGGATTTCTGGTTGTTTCCCTGATAAACTCAGCCCTCACTGTGTTCATATATTTAGGGTTTTGTCTTAAAAATGCAAATAGAATTATTATGGAAGTGATTTTCAGAAATTCAGAGATTCCGTCAAACGCCATTTATGAATGAAGAGCAGTTTATACGACTACAACTTGCCCTTTAAAATAATAAGTCAATAATATTTTTTCTATTTTATGAAAGTCATCTGATTTACTTACTATTTTGTACTGTATAGTTAATTTTTTTTTTTAGTTCCAAATAATTCATTTGCTAAATATTCATTCTAAAGATAAATGCATATACTGGTAATTTTGTTGAGCTTCAGAGGCAATTGTTGATAATAACTCTCTCAAATCTGTGTTGATTAATAGTAGTAACGGATAAGATTATTTCCTAAAAAAAACTGGTATTTGAAGTTTTTGCTTTAGTAGTATATAGTAAACCTAAGGTACACAAGTGATGCAGGTTAAGATTTTATTATTATTTTCCCTTAGGGCCTAATTATTTATAATTTGTGCTGTGCTTCTTAATACTTTAATTTCATAGTACAGTATTTGCCCTATAGTGATACTGAAACACTTTTCATTTATGGAGATGTAAACGTTTGTGCGTGTTTTAAAATTTAATTATCAAACCTTAGCTATTGCATACATTTTTCTCTTTCCTGTATATAAGTTTTCTTTTTCAGAAATGGCACCTCAATGATTTCACTTATCATTCCTCCTAAGGATCAAATTGCTAGAGTTAGTAAAATGTTGGCAGATGAGTTTGGTACAGCATCTAACATCAAATCCAGAGTAAACAGATTATCTGTTTTGTCGGCCATCACATCGGTACAACAACGGCTCAAACTCTATACTAAAGGTGTGCTTACTCTTCTGTTTTCACTGTAATGATGCAGTTAATGTTCTTATCAGCTGATTTACATATACATAATAGAGGCATCTAACATTTTAGTCCACATACAGGTACTGATACTTAAAATAATTTGTCTAGCTTTAATACTTGTGTATTCAATTTTGATTTCATCTTGTTCTTAAATATTTTAGAGCAGTGATTCCCAACCTTTTTGGACTCGTGGCTCCATTTATTAATACTTAAAAAGCCCTGCAATTCCTGCCATATTTTCATAATTGAAAACGGCTGCCTAATCGGGATACTGTACTTGCCTCTTGCTAATTCTCGATGAATCAGATATACTAGTACTGTACTCAGAATTTAGGTTCAGAGACCCACCAGAAAGTACTTTGGGATTTCACTCTCCCCATCCTCCCTCCATTCCTGCCCTTTGGTGGTTGCAAAAATGTTGGGAACCACTGTATTAGAGTATTTTAGAAAATAGTGTACTTACTTTTTCTCTAATTTGAGTATACCTCCTCATATTGGCCTCAAAGTTTAAACTTGTACAGGATCATAAAAGTGAGCTTCCCATTAACATTGGGCAGTGAGAGGGAGAGGAGCAGAAGGGAGAGAAAGATGAGGAGGAACAGGAGGAATGTAGGAACGGGGGGCAGCAGCAACAGGAGGAAGGGGGAAAGATAGATAGATAGTAGTATACTTGATTAAAAATAAATAGTAGTTGATTTGGTTACTCGAGTTGCCACCACCACCATGCTGAAAAATTTTGAACAAATAAGAGTAGACATAGCCATATAAATTTTAAAGATTTTAGAATTTCTTACCATGTTATTAGAAATTTGAGCAAAGTAGCTTTAAATTAAATATTGTGTAGAGAACTTCATTAGATCTGTAATTCCTGTGCTCCAATTTTATCTTCATCCTCACGAGAGTTTCTTGAAAATACACAAGGAACCAAGCTTTTATATATTCAGGCGCATATGATGCAAATTCCAACAGTGTGTTTGACCAAGAATTCAAAAACAAAATGCCTGAATTTAGAAAGTTAGAAGTAAACCCCTCTGAAGTTTAATCTAGGTATGCACACATTTTTAAGTGTTTTTATAATTGTTAATATTTGGCTGATAATGCTCTTTTTGTCTAAAATTTTTATTGCTAGATTTTGCGGCTTTTCATTTTGGATGGTAAAAAATAAATTTTACACAATGAAATTGCTTTTGTTACATAATGAAAATGCTGTATATCCTCAGTTTTTAAGTCATTATCTAAATGCACACATGAAAAATTCCCATTTATAGTTTAAAGTGCAGACAGCCTTCAGGGGGATTCAAGTGGAGGTATGATATTAGGCCTACCTTAGGTGCCATGTGCACATGGATCCATCATAAACTGCCGGAAGCCTAATTAGGTAGTTAGCTAGCTTACTACATAGAAATTTACATGATTATAGAACAGATTTTCATTGGGATTTCCTCAAAGTATTTCATGTAATGATTATTGTAATGTTATTTGGGTTCTAAGCTAAATATTTAAATAACACTTGTATAAACATTTACATGTGCAAATTTTGGTATGTGTGCTAATTTTCTGTCTACATTTTAGTTCCGCCCAATGGACTAGTTATCTACTGTGGTACCATCGTTACAGAAGAAGGAAAAGAAAAGAAAGTCAACATTGATTTTGAACCATTTAAACCAATCAACACATCACTCTACCTTTGCGACAATAAGGTGAGTTAATGTTGGTTGTCACTTGACATTACCTACACTCCTTGATCAGAGTACGTAGTGACGTTGATCTTCAGAAATACGAAGATAATATTTTGCATGTAAGCCCTTACGGATGAAGGAGTGTCTCCAAATAGTCTATACTTAGTTTGGTGCTTTACATCATTGCTTAGGTTCTTGCATAAATGATTAGAAAGTTAAAGTAGAGGCAAGACTTAAAGGTACTTGAGGATATTGATTGCAGTAGATGTTAAATTGGTTAGAAAATTAATCTGGGTCATGTGTAGCCATTTCTTGAGAGGGTTTTAGAGAATTAGACATAGGCCTGTCATGAATTATATTAATGTGTGCAGGCTAATGATATGTGAAATTGAGATTTAAAGCTGTTGTACATTTAATCTACTATGTAATGGGTAAGAATGTGCATGTAAAATAGGAACATTACAATTTTTTTTTATTCCATAGTTTTGTACTACAGTAAGTTTCTTTAATTTCAGTTTCACACAGAGGCGCTTTCGGCGTTGTTGGCAGATGACAACAAATTTGGTTTCATTGTGATGGATGGTAATGGTGCGCTATTTGGCACACTGCAGGGAAACACGCGAGAAGTATTACACAAGTTCACGGTTGACCTTCCGAAGAAACATGGTTAGTGTTGTGTATCACAGTACAGTACTGTAGCAGTAAGTTTTTGCACTGTCAGTCTTTTGTGTAGAGCAACATCATTCATCTCTGTGTCAATAGTGTGTGTTTATGATGATAAAATTCTTTAATTTGTGGGCCTATTGATCATACATTTATAGAAACGACAAGCAACATCTTGACTTTTTAAAGTTGAGTAAAATTATTAATTACCTACATACATACTGTACATTATAATCTTTTACATTTTATTAATATTACATTTCTGCCATCCATCTGTTTATCCTTCTGAGTTACATAATTTTGATTTGTCAGCTTTGTAACTTCTAAAGCGATTTATATCCTTTTTTCCTAAATAGAAATGTGGCAATTTTTTAAATAAAAGTATAAATACGGTATTTAATGGGTGATCAACTAGCTAAGCTGAATTGAGGACCATGCAAAGCCCTAATCAAATGGTTTCTTCATCTTGCACAATAAAATAAAAATTATAGGGGATTTACTATGAGAAGAGGTTGTCCAGGTATCTTTAGATAATTTTTGCAAATGAGAAGAAAATGCCACAGAAGAGCTCAGAAAACTCATTGGCATTAGTCCCTATAAGGAGTCCAAGGAATTTCCAAGAAAAAGGTGGTGTGAGCTCGGTGGTTTTGTTCTTGTTTATGTACGGTTACTATACAGTGTAGTATACATGACTTAACGTGTAGGGCAAAAAATAAATCCAGACGAGTCTCTAGTGATGATCTGGATGGGCTTTTAAAGTGGATGAAAGATTGGCACATGCAGTTTAATTCCTCCCCGAAAAATAAAGGGTTCTGAGCTTGGTAATAATTTGCCAAATATCAGTTGAACTGTTAAAATTGCAAAGTCTGAATTTATGAGAGAGGGATGGAAGTTGTAATTACTAGGCAACCTAAGCCAAATTTTTTTTATTAATCAATGGTGTTGTAGTTCCATAATACAAAATATAAAGTAATGCCACAAATACTTGTCTGTCTTCTCAGGTCGTGGTGGTCAATCTGCTTTGCGTTTTGCTCGCTTGCGAATGGAGAAGCGTCATAATTATGTTCGAAAGGTAGGCTTTACTTCTTAACGAAATTAATTGTATGAAGCATGTCATTACTTTTTACATAATTTTCTGATAATTCTATATATCAAGAATTAATATTAATAAATACAATTGTTTTATGATATAAGGACAAGCTTCCTATGAAGACATTAACCATGGAAATATATCTAATGTATTTAGACATTTACCTCCTTTTCAGGAAAGGAAGTGTTTTAGTATTTTTGTTTAATTATGATTGAATAATTAATATTGTTTATTTAACTAGTTTGTCTTTACAGGTAGCAGAGACAGCAGTGCAACTATTTATCTCCAACGACAAACCCAACATTGCAGGTTTGGTTTTAGCGGGGTCTGCCGATTTTAAGACGGAACTCTCCCAATCAGATATGTTTGACCCTGTAAGTTAGTGCAATTTTAAAGAAACCTTTCAAATTCATTTGTGATTTGGTGAATGGAGCATCGCCTATGCAGTACTTGTATGTGTGGAGGCAAAACATTAAAATATTTAACTTCACTTATGGTAATTCATATGGGCCCCTATGGTTTTTGCTGTAATTCATTCATTTAAACTATTCCTTTGTGTAGTTTTGGAGGATATTGAGATTATCTGGAGCATTGGTGTTCAGAGTGTCTGATTTAGTGAAAAGCAATTTTGTCCAATTTTAGAACAAATTTTTATAAGGAATAATGAGACACATATTTGAAAGCATTTTAGCACCTGCCATATGAATACCTGTTAAACTCTTCGGGAATCTTCATTTTCTGTGAGGAAAATTTCATAAGAGTTGTATAACTTGTAAATTACTGTTGAATTTCTTCTTTTATAATAACCTTGGCTATTCTGACTTTTGTCGTTCTGCCACCGTTCTACTGCTTCTGTGCACTTTCTGAAAACATTTTTTCTCATGTCTGTTAAAATACATACAAAATTGCTGCCAATATTTCTGCAAAAATTAAATTGGGCTGAAACTGTCTCTTGTTGATTTTGCTTAACCATATTTTTGCATATGCTGTGGGCATTCTCTAGCATGCATTTGTCCAGGTAAATGATTTTCCACCAAGCCTTCAGAGGTACCTATGTTGTAGTGAGAGTCGATGTCCCTTCAGGTAGTCATGCCATGGAATACTTTGTCGTGAATGTGTGCTGCTTGCAAGATACTGTGTGTTCATTTTCCATGCAAATCTTAAAATTATATCATGTGTTGCAACCCATTATTTGAATTGCTAATTGTTGCCCTGGCAGTGAATGTGTGCATGCACATTACTGATTCCTTGTACAGTATTTGACACGTGTGTAAAGGTGGCGATTTGCACATTTGTTTGTACAGTAGTTCTAATGAACAAGTAGTAATTACCAGTGGCTGAGTGAGTCAAGATTGTCAGTGCCTCCAACCACTGCATAGTGTAATTTCTAGTCCCCCTTATGATTTCATATAGTCGGGTAGTTCTAATAGAGAAATGAAGGACATTCTTTCCATGATCACCCATTGCCATATTGTATTTTCAATTGTATAGTTTTTTCTGGTGAGTTGAGCATAAATATTACAGCTTCTTGATATAAATAAGAATACCAGAGCCTTCATATTCGATTGTGGCTCCTTGCATGCGAGCTGTCTACACTGAGTAGCTGTGACCTTTGTGGCACAGCTCTTTAGCTGTGCTAAAGAACACAACTTTCCCGGAGCTGAGCTCACGACAACTGGATTACACTTGGTCTCTCTATTACTTGAGTAGATTGTGATACAACATCTTGCAGAAGCTGTTTGAACCAGGCTTGACCATATCTGATATCGACAGCATCTTGCAAGGGCTATTCAAAATAAGCTCAAGCACCTGCAAATCCGTTGAAAACAAATTTTTTATTGTTTTTAAAATGATTGTTATAGTTGTCCGAGTGCTATTTAATTTTGGCATTAACAACTATTGCTTAGCAATTCTGAATGTTTGATGCAAAGAAATGTAATAGAGGTAGCATTGCAGCACATACAGTATTTAAATAAAATAATTATAAATTAACTGGGTAACCAGTTTTTGTAACTTTTAGCGGGAGCGGGGTAGAGGTAGTTATGCTAAATTTCAATTCTCTTTTCCCCAGAGGTTACAAGGAAAAGTAATAAAGCTTGTTGATGTGTCGTATGGAGGTGAGAATGGCTTCAATCAGGCGATTGAGCTAGCGGCAGAATCTCTTGCTAATGTCAAGTTCATTCAAGAGAAAAAGCTCATTGGTAAATATTATTTCTGAGATTCATTGGTATACTTCATTTAATACTTGGTATATATTTTGCCATTTCCAATTTTTTTTAACTAAAAAATCATATTTGCATGAGCAATTAAATGTTATTGCCAATGAACACATAACTTAAATAGGTTTATGTATTCTGATCTGCAGTAAAATATTAATTCAACTTGTTTAATAAGTGTATGTATTCTGAAATACATATTTTGTAAGTATAATTTAGATATGTTTAATCCAAAGAATATTTTGGATGAAAGTGGGAGAAAAAGAGGAATATTAAGCCTAATCTAACCTATGTAACTCTTGAAATCATTGTGTTGGAAAATTTTTCTTTTTTACCTAATTTTAGGCTAGTTAACCATTACATTTCCTGTTGGTAGACAATGCTCTTAAGTATTTATTGGTTTGCTGGTACCCTTATAATTCTCATGGTTATGCTTCCATGGGTGACTTGGGGCAGTTAAGATGGTTCCTGACAGACACTTGCTAATTAGTTAAATGTCTTTCTTTGTGCAGCAAAGTACTTTGAAGAGATTAGCCAAGATACTGGCAAGTATTGCTTCGGTGTTGTGGATACGCTGAAAGCCCTCGAGTGTGGAGCTGTTGAGATTCTTATCTGCTGGGAAAACCTCGATCTTGTCAGGTCAGTTATAATTTCAGTGTGAATCTTCGTTTGTGTTGAGTGATAATACCCACAAGTGGAGGAGAAATTTTTAATATGTCTTAATTATTTTGCATTTCTTAATATGTGAAACTTTTTTTTTGTTAAGTGGAGAGTATACACTTGCCCTGTTTACACCCAAAAGTAACCCTCTTCAATATTCAAGTTGAACTGTAATTGGGTGTTGATTTTTTGTAAGTGTTAATATACCATTGCTGTTGTCTGTTTAAGCCTTTGTAAACATCTTGGGGGATGGGGGGAGGGAATGTTAAATGAACAGCAACAAGAAAAAGTTAATATTTATTTTGAGACATTAAGTACCTTTTAATTTTAGGGTAAGAGAAAAGCAAGCAAAAGTGGGCAGACAAAGCAAGGATGATTTAAACTGAGTACCGGTAATTTATGGGCACTGAAGTGAACGAGGGTAAATGGAAGTAATTTAATGAGGGAGGGAATTATCAGGAGAAAGTACCAAGCCATTGACTAGCACTGGGAAGTGGTCAGGATAAGGAGTTGAGTGGTGCCTAACCACTTGGACGGTTGGAGATTGAACGCCGACCTGCATGAAGCGAGACTGTTGCTCCGCCGTCCAGCCCAAGCATTCTGAATGATGCTTTTGTCATGACAGCTCTCCAAACTCTTCTCGCTTTGTGATGCAAGGTGAAATTTCTTGACTCATTCCCCGTAGCTCTTCCACTAATCTTGTGGCATACTACTGAATTTTCTTCAATTTGTATTTAATGAGATTAGGACTTCTTAAATGGGTCTGATATGTAGTATGCATTGCCCTAAATGACTGTATTCAGGCTAAAGACGGTTATTATGTTAGCCAACCTTGCATATGCAGCTGATACCATTTTGATGTGGGCCTCAAGAGATAGGTTCAGTGTAACGTGAACATCCAGGTCATTTTCTGGCTGACCCTAGGAGAGTTACTTTGTTAATTTGTTACTTTGGGTCTAACCTCTCTCTCTGCCATCATCCAGCTTTATTATTATTTTTCTTGAATTAAATTGTTAGCCACTTTTTTTTTATAACCATTCTTTCAATGTGTCCAGGTTTTTCTGTAGCATTTTGCAGTCTTCCGCAGTATGTATCCTCATAATTCTTGTCATCAACAAACATTGAAAGTTTATTCCCTCTGGAGGATCATTTACAGAGATGAGGAATAAGAAAAGACTTAATGCTGACTTGTTAGGAAAAATTTGCCACTCGAAAGTCGTCTTCTGTCGCTTCTGCCTGTTTTATAGTTTACAAAAGGGGTTTTGAGCATCATTGCCTTATAAGTTGGAAAGTATATTTACATGGCATATGTAAACACTTTAATTTTAAAGAACATATAATAATACAAATAAAAATTTTCCAGATACGTTTTGAAGAATCATCAGTCTGGTGAAGAGACAATTTTGCACTTAACTCCCGAGCAGGAAAAGGACAAGACTCACTTTACTGACAAAGCTGTAAGTTACTATTTTTTAAAAGGTCAAATGTTGTTTAAGTGGGTATTGTTTTTCTTTTAGGTTATATCCAGTAATACTAGTCAAGCTAATTAACACACATGAGCTGTGATGACACAATGCATCATTGAACTGAAAATTTCACTAAGCATGGATTTTGCATTGTAACATTTCATTACCTGCTTTGATTTTTTACTGTGATAGAGCAGTGATTTCCAAAAATCTGTGTTAAAACACAAGATAAGACAATACACACACGTGTACAAATGTAAATGGATAAAAAGGATTCATGTTCTGCTCTCCAATTACCTGCTAGTACCATGTTTACCTCGGGTGAGGAACAGGCACATACTAGGGGCAGATTGAGATTCTCTCATTATCATGTAGAACAATCATTTAAACATAATTTACTCGAATATACATCTCTTCCTCGAATGTTTATAAATATTTGTTTATAGCCAGGAATGTAAATTGGCTAATTTGGTCCTCTTATGCTAGTTTTGTTAGCATTGCGTTTTTGAGACAAGCTTTTCTAGCGTACAGTATTTTTAGTGCCAGTGTATATAACCATCTTGCCCTGTAAAATCAAATTATGTAGGGAGAATGATTGTCTTATGCTAGTAAGAAACTAGAAAGCAGATGCTGGAGAAAATGGAACACCACAAGAATGCGAGGTGCAGGGTTTGTGTGATGATAAAGTTAGTGTAATCGTAGTGGTAAATATAGTGTGATTAGGGCAAAGAAAAGGAAGATGTACATTTTTCATTGTGGTATTTTCTTCAGTGCTTTAACATCTGGAAGCATAAAAATGCATCTTTTTTTTGTTCCAGTCATAGTTTTTAAGCATGAAATTTTCTTATGGTACTTTTCTGCAGTGCAAGTATTATAAGAGAGGCGACAGGCTAGTCTGACCATTTGAGTCATCCAGTCATTTGCATTATTATAAACAGAAAAATTATCAACAAATTAATTATCTAAGGTAAAATACACCTGTGATATTTTAATACAAAATTTAACATGGAAAATGGAAAAAAATATCTGCACAATTTATTTATAAAATTTAATGTGACTAAGAATATCAAACTGTTTACTAATTATTACACATTTATTGTAGGGGAACTTTACAGGTATGCAATGCTAGTACAGATCAGCAGGTAATTTTTACTGTTAGTTGTATCATCTTACATAATCGATAAATGTGTGAACCACGCTCTACAGCCTTCAATATCACCAGTAAATAATGATATATTAAATCATTCACATATATCAATAGGGATAAAGATGACTATCAATTACCCAGTCACACGGTAAATAATGAACAGTGGAAAATGGTAGTATGAATTAGCTGTCAACATTAAGATCTATTTCTGTCGGGTATAACTACTGTACTCTCAAGTGCTCTTCATCCTGCTTACTTTTGCCTTGTCACTGCTTACATGGCTATATATAATTACACAAGGCCATTATATGTAAAATATAACTTACATGCTCTTATCACACTTCTACACTTATTTTTTTCTAGTATTATGGCAACGCTGATGTTTACAACACCAACATCCACAACCGACATCAGGTATAATTTACAAAGTACAAATCTGAAACTGGTTTCACTCAACAGTTAAAAAAAAAAAAAAAAAAAAAAATGTAGTTTCAGACATTGTTACTCTACTGATACCTCAAGATAACACAAGTTAAACCAAATCTTTACATCATTATACCATAAACTTACTAATTCCATAAACTGCAAAAATATAAATATTGCAAAGTACATTTCTACCACAAGGCACTGTTCTTGCTTGCTACACTTACATACACAAGAACACAAGCCAGAATTTTGTTACCCTTTGCTGATACCAAAATTAGCATGAAAATGATTTAATTCAACAACAATAAAAATTAGAAAATTCTGTGTCTCCTGGTGGCTAATGCAAAACGTGTACAGTGAATAAATGTCTACTACTCGAGAGCATAAACTCAAGATAACTTCGGATATGGTTTTAACCTGGAGGTAGTATCTATTAACAAGTTTGGGCCACTTTCACGCCCCTCAAGTTTTCATCAAATTATTTCAACAATGTCTATATTCACGTTTATACATATTAATATGCAATATAGAAGGGAGTCTAGCAGTAAACAAATGTAGACCGCCACATATAAAGGCATATTTGTAACAGTAGCAAGAAACATTTAAAACTACCACTTTTATGAGCAAGTTAACACATCCATCCCCTCGGTGGCTAATGCCAGACTAGCTGGTTGAGCTGTGTCGATTGAAGACTAAATTCATGGGTGGCAGAATTCACAGATGGCAGTTCATGATGATGATTGTTTTTATGAATATACTAGAATATCTTGTAGTTTACACTTTTATTTTGCAATTGTTTCCACGTCTAAATTCTATTTTTTTTTTAAACAAAATTAAAATATGGCTTTCAAGGACTTCTAATTGGGAAATCTATTTGGTTTTTAGTCATCAAATGGCTTGATATAATTTTGTGCTCCCCACAATATGCAGTAATCATAGGCAGTTTATATAACATAGTAACCAATTTTAATCACCCGTGTGGCTACATTTGGCACATCAAAGTCCACTATAATATGGGTCATTCTGAATATTTGTCACAAATTTAGCTGGGATAACAACCAGGTGTTGGCATTCCAGACATACACTTAAAAATTTCTTCACCTCTTCACTAAGTATGTTAAACAGTAGCTCACTTTTATGCAAGCATTGACCCAGCCTAAATCATAACATAACTAACAAAACAAACTAATCTAGCCTCAGGGACTAGTTGAACACAGTTTTATCATAGGCAAGTGAACTCTTTGTTTACAAATGTGCCACAAGTGCACATTCCAAATTTATACAAAAATGTGTGCGTTAACACATTAGAACATGATCTTTATTAAATTTTGTATTTTGTTAACAGGATGTTAATGCAGTGAGTATAACGTCTACAAGTGACTTATCGCGGTAATAAGTTCCTAGTCATAACACTATACAATAAGGCATTGTTGAAGTTATCATTTGTGCTCGTATTTTTTACTCCTTTCATATTGTTACTTCCACTATTTAATTTGTGTATTTTTGTTTTAGACTGGAGTAGAATTGGAGTTAGTGGACTCGATGCCCTTACTAGAGTGGCTGGCAAATAACTACAAGAGCTTTGGTGCCACCTTGGAAATCATCACGGACCGTTCACAAGAAGGCTCACAATATGTACGAGGGTTTGGTGGTATTGGAGGTATGTAATAAAGTACTGTATACACTTCTCATATAAGACAGGAAGAGGGGTTGAATATTTTGGTAGGATGTCATACAACAAGAAATGGTTCAATTACTGTATTTACTAAAAACAGTGGCAATGTCATCACATAGTGATACGAAGGTTTTCAAAGAGCTTAACTCTATTGGTATGATAGAAAGACTGCTTGCTAAACAACAAATTTTGATTGCATTAGACTTAAAATGTGTAATGAAATTAGTTTTAACATTCTATAATGAAGTTTGTCACCATTGTGAGTGCTGTAATGATTCATTGTAAACATGAAAGGGCATTTTCTTTTACTAAAAAAAGGAATGACTCAACACAAAGGAATGAAAATATGGGAAAATAAATTGTTTATTGCCATGTGTTGTAATTAAAATCTATAAATTCATTAATGATAGTACTTGCTTGCATTGGAGATTAAACTCCTGCACTGGGCAGCTAATCAACAGTACTACATTGAGGTGCATCATATATAAAATTGTTAACAAATCAAACGTGAAAAAAATTGTTGATAGCAATAGGAGCAGTGCATGGGTTTATACATTGGGAATGCTTATAGCTTGGTATAATTAGTTGAACCATATGCTTTGTTAAAAAATGGGCTTTGAATTATTTTATCATAAAAATTTGTTGTACTTCTGTACTTTGAGGTTCAACACCTGAGATGACACCTTTGATTACCCTAATGAACTTTTACCATGTTTAAGTGTTTAATTTTCTTATCCATGATTAGCCTTGTATTGAAATTCAAATAGTAATGATTTAATTGTTTATAATTTAAATCTTGTAAACTGTAGTATAAAGCCAGTTGTAGTATCTTTGGCTGTAATTATTGTACATAAATGCTTTACCATTTTTTTTTATTTACTATGTTGGTGTTGTGCATTTTGTTTGTTAGGCATACTCCGTTACAAAGTGGACCTGCAAGGTCTGGAAGACATGGAGGATCTTTCGGAGTTTGATGTTGACCTCGATGATTACATATAAAAATTATACCAAAGTATTGTATCGGGTTAGTCAACTTGTGTGCTGGAGTGAATTAATTTGTTAGCTTAAATGTTAATCACCATCTAGAGAAATTTGCCATAAAATGTTTTAGGCTAGCTCCAAGTAGCTATCTGGTTCATTGGCTCGGGTACCAGACACGCTTCCACAAAATAGGCTCTGGACTTTGACAAGCTTGCCTAACACCAGTACCCAAAGCTGAATATAACCACCTTGAAAACATATGCGAAGCAAAGTTAACTACATATCTTGATTAAGCAGAAAGATGAGAGTGAGGGAAGTGCTAGCTTGCCTAATGTAAACGAACCATTTTGCCACCAGGTGTAATAGTCATACAGAGGTTCAGCCTGCCTACCATTCTTGCTCGTTTGTTACCAAACACTCAACGACTACGTTTTTTGTTAACTAGGTGTGGGTTATCACTGGTTCTGTTGACCTGCAGGGGTCATGATTAGTATTTTATTTTTTCAATACTCTTCACAGTTGTGCTTTTGGTTCCTATCTTGTGTTCTTAGCTAATCAGTTCATGAAACTTTCAGGATTATCTTCCAAAGTCCTGGTTTTAGTTTTCCTTTTCCTCAGCTATTATCCTTTGTGGGAGGTTTGGGTGTCTTCCAGTTTGCTATGTACTTACTAAAAAAGTGAATACTCATGCTTGCCTATGTCTTGTTTGTAGTGTCTTTCCAGTTTATGGATTTCTGCTTGGATGATGAATACAGTAATGATTTTTTCAGTTGTATTCTGTGGTAATGTATACCATATCCCATCTGTGAATTATGGAATTTGGTGTTCAGGAGTTTTCTTCACTTTCTTGTGTCCAGTGCTTCTCAATGTTAATTAACAAAATAGATTTTGAAGCTTTAATTATGTGGACTTCAGGCATTTCTCAATTGAGGCATGGGTTTGGTCTGAGTGTCATGTACTCATAGTAGCTCCTTATCTCTGCCTTTGACGAGTTCCTCAATGGCTTTGATTTGGGGTGACTATTTCCCGAGGTATTAGTACTGGCTCCTCTAGGTTTGGCTCATTATTCCTTGACGATAGTTATGGTTTCGGAACCAAATCTCTCCTCGCTGGCTTTGCTATCTGGCTTCATTTGGATTACATGTTTGTGGTTTGACTGCCTGAAGAGGGGTCTATAATCACTTCCTTTCCCTGTGAAAGTATGCTCTGTTCTCTGGGATGTTGTCCTCAATATGATCCACATTCTGGTGTCTTAATAATTTTGCAGACTGCCTATACCAGTTTTATCCAATTTTGACAATGGAAGCATGAGGCCTTTTTCCGTTGTAATTAGGAGACATTCAGCTGTCCTCGGGTGGATGGCTGTTCCAGTGCCATGTAATGGAACATTGCAAGTTGCTTGCACTGGATGCTTTCTGCCTTGGGTGGAATCTGCAACATTAGTTTTGCCTTTATTCTCTGTTAGGAATAGGAACTGGGGAACTACTGAGGGCTAATCCTGAAATTAAATAATTACTGTATATTGAAACACTCCTCTGGGTGGCCTTGGTAGTTCCCTGTATCTCCCCTTCTTTGCTCTCCTCCATTGGGTGTGTCTGTGGGTGGCAAGTGGCTTTGTTGACTTGGGAGAAACTCTCACTTATCTTGTTTCCATCTTTTCTCTATAATCAAGATGTGCAGTTTCATTTTGCCTCTACTTTCTTGGGTGTTTTTTGAGTTTTCACAATCTTGGCTCCTCGTGCTTTTTTCCATCACTTACAGCCTACCATCTGCTGGTCCTGGTGTTTGATAGGCCTGTGCAAGTCCAAGCATAGTAGTTTTGAGGATGCCTGTGGTACCAGAGCCAATGTCGCGGAGTTACTGTTGTTGGCTAGAAAAGGGCGTTTCATTACATTCACCGTTTCATTTTTAACACTGTCCCTAATTTCTTAATTACATCAGATAATTTTGTCTAACATGAATGATGGGTTCTTTACTTTCACTAAAACATGTGGATTGCATGTTAACTAACATTACACTAGCTAATGTTAGTGATTTATAATTAATAATGAACATAATTAGTGTGAGTGGGGGAGAGGGGGGCGAATGTGTGCTCATGTATGCATGCTTGTCTACTATCACTCACCTGTGTCTTAGGAGTAAGACCAGCTCCTTGGCCCAGCCTCTAAACTCGCGAACCTCATAGAATTACTGTTGTCACTATTTTCTAATGCTCTGTCAAATCGGCTTTTAAAGTTGTGAATGGAAACTTCCAATGCTTCCATTCCTAGTTCAATTATTATTACTTGAAACCATTATTGCATACATGTATTTCCTTATATTTCCCATGCATTTGCTTATAAATTTTCTGTCCATTGTTTCCTCTAATGTGAAGTAATCTGGCACTATTCGTCTTCTTTTTTCCATCTTATTAATTTATTCATTGCGATCATATCTCATCTTAATCTCATAGTACTGTTATTGAGCTCACAGCCCATCTTTATAGCTTGGCTCCTTTTATTCTTTGACTACTCTTCAGACTCCTTAGACTTGCATTTTACAATCAAGATTGTGTCCACAATCTATCAAGATATACTCATGATAGTGTGTGGACAGAATATTCTACATGATTTTCTGATTATATTTCTGATAATTTTTTTTAAGTTTCAACTGGTCAGTGAATTATTGTAGGTATGGGGCTGGAAATTAAATTTTTAATACCTTTTCAATGGATTTGATCAATCTCACCCTTGGGGAAATATTGCTTACAAATAAAGGCCTTCACACCATTCTCTACATAGATTTTTTTAATTTATAAATTTTCAATTTTTTTTATCTGTAAATGATTTCTTGAACATCTGAACTTGTTTTATGACAAATTGGTGTCAATATATAGTATAATCTAATTTTATTAATCAATTTTTCAGGGATCTTGCGTTACAAGGTTGATTTACAACAGTTAGCAGACCTGGAAGAAGAGTTCAATGATATTGATCTGGATGATTATATGTAAATACTGGATACTGCCTGGACACAGGGCATGGCAGTGAAGGAGTACCACCCTGGGGAAAGAACTCAGTATTTGAGGAGCACTGCCCTAGGGAACATACATGGTATGGGATCAACTGAGGAGATTGCTCTTGCTGTGAACTACTCCAGGCGCTGTGCAGCTCTGATGTTCCCTTGTTAAGACGCAAGTCACTCTTGAACCACCAACATAGTGTGGTTCTACATTGTTGCCTGACAATCAGGCTTTTCTGTTCTATATTGTAATAAATTTTGAATATTATTACCAGCATCTAATCCTGGGTAACATTTTTACAAGGTGGCACATTGTGTGGGTGCTCGGGACAGGGGAATAGGAAACTGATTAGAGAGAGGGTGGGACACTGCAGGGAGGGAAAGGGGGTCATTGAGACATTAAATATCATGGGATCTCTTTGTCAAAATGATAACCGTTCTTGGCCAAGGTCTATGAGCAAATTAAACTCTGCTTGTTTCACAGATACATTTCTTACCATCATACTCAGAGCAAGGGAAAGTACCTAAAGAAATTTCAGTCAAACTAAACCAGTTTCAGCATGAATCTTTAAAGGCCTTCAGTTAGAAATGCATGGTGGGCCTGTTAGCCTGTTCTCCTGTTAGTATTTATCATGATAATTATTTGATAAATTTTGACTGTTAAATATAAGCACCAATAATTTGAAGTACATCATGGGTTTTAATCATATTCACAAATTTATAAGGCAAGAATTGATGAAACTGGTATTTGGCTGTTATTCTGGAGCTGGAGCTCAATACTCTTGGCAGCCCCAAGCAAAAATTGTGATCACTTAATTTTTTATAGTAGTAAAGGTGTCAGGATTTAAAGATTTCATAGTACCTGTATTTTGTAGAATATTAAATCTACATCTGTGGGAATCAGGTGTGGCACTCATAAGGTTGGGGTTGCTAACTAAATTTTATATAGGCTTGACACTATTGGTAAGGAGTAATTTATTAAATTTATGGTAAAAATGGTTGGAATTGCAGTAAATGTAGACCAGTAACATTTTGACAGTATCCCAACAGGATCATTTTCATTTAAATCCAGCAATGAGTTTCATGTTGAGACGTTTGTCTAACAAAGTGCATTTGCTGAATGTATTAGTGGAGAGGAGAGTTCAACTTGGCCCACCTATTAATATAAAATAAGCTGGATAATTAAGAGCCAAGTTAATGTTTCTGATACTCATGGTATATTTCCTCCTCTGACATTGTGATGACTGCTGTTTTCTTGTTTGTTTCTTTAGGTGATACTAGTAGCAAGTCAGGGTAAGTTTCTTTTAAGGAATTTAAATGGTATATGGGAAACGGTCAGAACAACAGGTACTTAGTGAAACTCGAGGCCGGAGGAAATCATAATTGTGCAATGCTGAAACGTGAAGAAATTCTGAAATCAGTTTTGTAAAGTCAGTGGTTCAGAGCTTTTTAAAAGATGGCCAGTCCCTCCTGATTAACTGCTGCCTTCGGGTCCTGCTGGATGCCCGTCACTCTCCATGGTCTGTATTTTATTACGTATTTTTTGTGTGGCATAAAAGAGGAGAGTTAAACAGGCTGCAGATATAATATTTAGCAGATTTGAGCCAAAACATTTAATGGCAGACTTGCCGTGTTGGCAGGAACAGCTGATAACAGTTCTGTCTGGCTCAGCTGGTGATAGCTTGACACTGTTGTCATTCAGATGATGACAGGTTGACATTGTCGCCTGATTCAGGATAACAGTGTTACCTGTTGTTTTTGATACTGTTAGCCCCAGTGTGGTTCATTTTTGCCAAACTGTAGCATCTTATCTGTGCCTTATTGGGTATTTTTATGTTCCTGTTCTTAAGAACAGGGTATAAGTATTTGCGCGAGGAAATGATAGACTAGGAAGAATTATTGGCTCGTCTTGACAACCAAGTGTCTGCACATTACCTCAGTTCGCACTTCCAGTTTAGGTGAAGCCTCCTGTTAAGGTTTGAGCTCTCGAGTCGGGGGAGTCCTTATGGATGCAGAACAGCAGGTGCATTGTGGATTGTAATAGAGAAGTTGCCAGAGTTCTAATTCACCTGTATATTTTATTGGTTACAAACAAAATAATCCACAATGTGTTTGCTGATAACTAAACTTTGGAACTTGCATAAATAATATGCCATTAATTCGAGGCATCCTGTCAAGATGACTAAGTATGGGTTATTGGATCTGAAGGGTGATTGACTGCCTAAAATTTCTGAAGAAAACTGTTATATGGGAACTTGTGTTACAAATATATTGGGGTTTGGAGAAGAATTTAAGCATATTAGTTAAATCATGCAAAGCTTCCAAGGGGAGTAGTATATTAAAATGTTTGAGGATACATTCATTTAAAGGTTTTTATAGATAAGGCAGGCAGTTGCCATCAACAATTTTCATCCATAATTACAGCGCTCAGGTTTCAAAATTTGGATATTTTATTTTAGGACCCTGACAAATTCCATTAACTCATAAACTTATCATCCTCTAGTTTCTGTATAATGCTTTTGATATTTTGTGAAATGTTATTCATAATTGCAATTTCAAAATTTAAGAGATCTAACAGAAAATATTGTCTCTAAAGTCCCCACAGCCCAAGCCAGCCGCCAGTGTACTATTGTTTTCTCTAGGGTTTTGAACACCTGTATGGATCGGCTAATAAAATACTTTAGGGAAAGTTGATCGTGTATTTTATTGATTACCTACTTTTAGAATTGCACGTTTGTGCTCGTGTTTTCTCTGTTGGGTGTTGATGCTCTGAGGTATAGTAATTTTGTTCTCAATTGCATACTTTTACTTTATCTGTATGAAGATTAATGTAAGTTGAGTGCATTAATTTTTAAAATTTATAAACTAAAACTCTTGTACCATACATTGTCGAATTTGATAAATATATTGCGAAGTAGTTGATAAAAAGACCATTTTACTGTTACGTGTGTGATAAGTCACTCAAATACTTGGGCATCGGTAAACATAACCTTTGTAAAGTGGCATGTTGTCTTGTGCAAGGCTGTAGGCTGGAATGTTATAATTAGAAAAAGCTCTGGAATTACCCCAATATTTTCCCCAAATAGAATTTAAGAACTGATCATCCAAACAAATAGGGAAGAGTATGTAAAATGTCATTATATTGGTACAAGATAGGAAGGTGGTATTGCACAGATAGATGATTTAGTATAGTGTACTTTTCAAGCAAGAGTCCATACTATAGGATATAACCTAAGCCAGTACACTTTGAAGAAAATTGTGCGAAGCCTTCACATCAGAAAGAAAGTTGATAAGTGTTTTGTGTTCACACATCTGAGTGAGGGTGAAGTAGCAGAATGTTCACGTGTGAGACATGAACATAGGTGAAGGCTTGCAATTTTTTTGGGGGGACAAACTAGACTTGTAAATCCGATAAATATGTAAAGAAGAGAAAATAAAACTATAACACATGTTTATATGGGTTGTGAGGGTTCTTGGCACATGAACAAATATTTTAGGGTTACCGTCAGGGTAAAATGATTGGATATCGCTGGACTAGGGCATAGAGTACAGGTTGGAAGTGCAATAAAAATGCACATGGCTTACCTGTAGTGGAGGAGTAGGTGGTATAGTACTTGCTTTGTATTTCGGAGGTTATTAAAGGCCAAAAATTTATCTTCCTGCTAGGGAACTATAATTTGTATTTAATTCTACTATCATTCTTTTTCCCATAGCTTTACTAAAAAGTACATTTTATTTTTTGGTGCCAAGGGAACACTACGACACAAGACAGAATATGTATTTTTTAACTTTCTAAGAAGTGCATAGTCATGTACCAGGTCTGAAAGAAAGGTGCACTCCAAAGGTTACACCTGTTTCTAAACATCCACAATTTCTTGAACACTGGACGATTTCCTTACCATCCTCCTCCCCAACCTGAATTGGGCTGTCCATGTCTTATAATATCTTTATTCCTTGCAAGACCTCTACCCCTTTGTTAAGCTGTGACAAAAGATCATTGTTTTTTATTTGTTTGCCCAAAGGAACAGTATACTCTGTTTTGGTTTTACCAATGATTGGTATTTGTATATTTGGCTTTTTTATTATCTAAATATATTTTCCTATAAATGTGTTCAGATCATTGAGATATGTCAGTACGAGTATTACAGGTAGGATGATGTATTTTAACATGGACTAAAATGACTAAACTGTTACATGGTAGAAAAGGATCATAATGAGGATGTAGGAAGACCAGTTTGGTGTTGGCAGTGATGAAGATAAATTCAAATTTTCAAATTTCCTAGTTAATTAGGATAATGATACTCCTCAATAAGTTAAGTAAAAGGATTTTATCACTTGTATTACAAATTGGTTATGACATTAGGAGCTTGGAGTTGAGGACAGGCGTAGAGTAACATGAGTGGTGCCCAGCTACTTGGACCTTTGGGAAGTTGGTGGCATATTAGCATGTACACAATGCCTCGGGTTCAACTCCTTTTGGAGTTTGGACATATTCTTGTTGACGTTCACCCTCTTGAAGACATACTGGTTGGTCACAAGGCTTAAACTGAGAAATACTAAACCACCTTGACAATGGTGATAATAACTGTAACGAGAGCAGCATTGCAGGTAATAAATTAGTTTCATAATCATCGAGAACATTAAAGTACGTGCATATTATTTTTCTTATTGATTACCTCGAGAGATATTAATTCATAATATCGTTCGTGCTAAAGGAAAGGAATTAATGCAATGGTCAACAAGTAAAGGCAATAATTAATAATTGTGCAGTACTCTCAAGGCTGATCGGTCCCACCCAAACGACCAGAATAACTGCAGGCAATACCCCAATACCATAATTACCGTTCTAGAAGGAGAACTAGTCTCTTCAGTTCAACGAAAATATGTCCTCGTTAGGAGAGAATCTCACCAACCAGAGGAAACACAACCTAACCACCATTAACAAGAAGGAACCAACCAGCCACAAGACACCCTGACGAATCTCCTTTTTGTAGCTGACTTTCCTGTCTCAGTTCTTAGGTCCGTCAGGTCTTCCTTACCTTTTCTGGACTACGTCCTCTTGAATGGATAAAAGTAACTGAAATGTGCGTTTTGTCACCATAGAGTTATATTGTAAAGGGGGGGGAATAAATTACTGTATACTCAATCATTGTTTTGATTAACACTTCCTCATTTAAGGTTTAGCATGTGAATGCAAACACCGTACTCTCTCACTATCCGTCGATTTTTCAACTGGAAAGGTATATCTTTGCTGACTTTACCATTTTTTAATGAATATTACACCTGACTCAGCGTTTAAACCTTGAATTACCATATGGACTTCAATAAGCTTCTAACAGATGTGGGTAACCATGTAGCAATAACCCAGACAACAATTATAGATGGGGTAAACTTAATACCATATTCAAGATCCAACCCGTTCTCGCACTTTCTAAGTCAATATTGACTTATTAAATAAGGGCATATGTGACATACTAATTTATTGTGAATATTTTAGTTTACCTTGAAAAGCTTCATAGAAAACACTGACCTTACCTAACCTTTTTAGTATGTTAAGATAAGCATCTTATTGCTCCGTAATTACAGTTATTACTTAACCTATACCTATAATAGGTGGGGCGGCTTTCAACCAAACACCAATGTTATATACTTTCACAACCCAATGTAACTTCTTGTACATAAATAAATTAATAAATAATCAGGGTGTTTGGTGGCTGGATTAACGAGCATTTGGTGTTTATTGATGATGACAAGTGATATAATCGTACAATCAATCCCCTAAAGAAAGGGCCATCGGGTACTAATGACTCAATACATGCTTCATTTACTTCCATTTTATATTGTAATATTATTATTAATATTATTATCTTAATAATATATTACTATAAATAATAATTTCGATTTCAACTGTATTAATAGTGACACTTTTTGTTAGCTAAGAAATGATTGTGAATTAGTTAAGAGAAGCAGAGTAGAGGAGGGCGCATGCGCTCCTTGAAGACCCGCGGTGTTTATGGTGGTGTTGTGGAGGTCACTTCCTCCAGGCGAGTATTTAAACACTACGGTACAAGATGCAAGGTGGTGTCACCTTCAGGCATACTGCACGTGTCATAAAGAAGGAGAAGACGGCGGTGTCATCATCGAAAAGGGAAGAGGTGAGTGGTGATGGTGCATGTTACATGTCATTGTAAGGTAGTGTTGACCAAACCACACACACACTACAAGTTGAAGAGACGACGATGTTTCGGTCGTTTTAGTCCGTCCTGGACCATTATCAAGTTGATTGTGATCAGAAGAGGGAGGCTAAAACATTGATTGTATGGAAGCCTTGAACTTTTTTTGAGTTTTAGCACGTCTGGGCGTTCTTATTGTCTTTCTAGTTTCTCATTACAGCTCCTTTTGGGCATTCTACTGTGCCGTCGCTTTCGTAAGGGAGTATTTAAATGTTCACATTTTAAACTAGTTCCTTCAATATTTTCCCGTTGTTAATTATGCCTTTTTCACTTGGTAACAATGGGATAGGCCTACAATGTGTCTCCAAATGGTTGGCCACCAATGTCGCCTTCAAGACGATCTAAATTGCCATTTGAAATGGACGAAAGACTGGCATATATAGTTTAATGCTGACAAATGTAAGGTTACGAGGCTAGGTAATGATAGTTACCGGATATCAGCTTATAGTGTTAAAACAGTGACGTCTGAATGCCAGAAAAATCTGGCAGTCATAATCAGTATGCATTTAAGGAGAAAAAGCAATCAATACAAATATCAATGTTCAGAATACGGTACGCATGATATTGGGATTTATTTCTAGAAACTTTAGCAATATAATACTTTTTTGCTAAATCTTGCTCCTGATAGGCTACTACGCTACACTTTATGTAGTTCAGGTCTTCGCACTGTAAAATGGTCATAAATACACCTGAACACATTCAGCGAAAGATGACGAAGTTAATCCCATGAATCAGAAGCCTTCCATATGAAGAGAGGGAATTATCAAGGGAAAAGCGCCAAGCCATTAAGACCATAGCACTTGGAAGGGGTCAGGATAAGGATTTGGGATGGGGCGGGAGAAAGGAATGGTGCCCAACCACTTGGACGGTCGGAGATTGAACTCTGACCTGCAGGAAGCAAGACCGTCGCTCTGCCGTCCAGCCCAAGTGGTTGGACACCCATATGCAGAGACTGAGAAAGCTAATTTACATTCCTTAGAAAGACAAAGAGATATACCTGCAGTGCACAGTTGGATGAAAGAGCATAAGGGGCGATAATAATAAAGAATTAAATATATCTACACAAAATAATAGATCACAAAACAATATATAAATATTAAGTTTGGATTTAGGAAAAAACTTGTGAATATAATGAATCGAATTGCTGACTTGTGGAACAGATGTAGGATCACTTGATTGTTTGAAGCATAGATTAAACATATATATAAATTAGTTTGGGTGAATATAAAGATCAGCTGTATTGTATGGGTCAACAGTCTTGCAGTTGGTTTCAGTATTGACTCACAATCAGGGATCCCAGGTTCAATTACCGGACGGGGCAGAAATGATTGGGCACGTTCCCTTTCACCAAATGCCATTGATCACCTAGCAGTAAATGGGTAAACAAAGTTACAGCCGTTGAAGGTTGAATCCCGGGGAGGGTGAGATGTGCCTTCAATATTTTCCCGTTGTTAATTATGC